TTTTTTTTTTTTTTTTTTTTTTTGAGATGGAGTCTTGCTCTGTCGCCCAGGCTGGAGTGCAGTGGCCGGATCTCAGCTCACTGCAAGCTCCGCCTCCTGGGTTCACACCATTCTCCTGCCTCAGCCTCCTGAGTAGCTGGGACTACAGGTGCCCGCCACCTTGCCCGGCTAGTTTTTTGTATTTTTTTTTTAGTAGAGACAGGGTTTTACCGGGTTAGCCAGGATGGTCTCGATCTCCTGACCTCGTGACCCGCCAATCTTGGCCTCCCAAAGTGCTGGGATTACAGGCTTGAGCCACCACGCCTGGCCCCTTGTGTGTTTTTTTGTTTTTTTTTTGAGATGGAGTCTCGCTCTGTCGCCCAGGCTGGAGTACAGTGGCACAATCTCAGCTCACTGCAAGTTCCACCTCCTGGGTTCACGCTGTTCTCCTGCCTCAGCCTCCCAAGTAGCTGGGATTACAGGCACCTGCCACCACGCCTGGCTAATTTTTTGTATATTTAGTAGAGACGGGGTTTCACCGTGTTAGCCAGGATGGTCTTGAACTCCTGACCTCTTGATCCACCCGGCTCAGCCTCCCAAACTTCTGGGATTACAGGCGTGAGCCACCGCGCCCGGCCCTTTCCTTGTGTTTTAAGTCTAACACTTCTACTAGGATAAACCGCAGAGTTGATTGTTCCAGGTCAAGTTCCTCTGTGTGTACAGCTCAGGTCTTCCTTTGCTTTCAGAAAGACTTGTTGGGTTATAGTTTTAAATATTAGTTCTGTTTTATTTTTTCTTTATCTCTGGTTACATATAAATTGGGTTTTCTTTGTCTTCTATTTCCACTACTTTCTGGTTCATATTGATTTTTTATTTATCTGATTTGCTTTCTTTGAGTTGTTTGTTTTTGCTTTTATCCAATGACCTTTATTAGATTTTTATCTGAATCTGTTCTCTCTTGGGCATGTTGTAATTATTCCTCATTTTCTATGGTTTTGTAGTTTTCTTGGGTTTATTTTGTAATTTCTGTTCCCTTGCTTGCTTTCTTCCGGATGGTTGGTCCACGTTTCTTCTTAGTTTGTGAATTTCGGATTCATAGTACCTTGTCACACCTTCTTATGCTTGTTTAAAGACATTTAAGTCCATTTGGAAGATTCTGTTATATTTTTTTTCACTCATTGCTGGTGTCCCAGGGAGATTTCCGCCCAGGTGGTTTTCACTTTGTTTTGTTTTACATTTATGAAGACGGTGTCTTTGCATCTCTGTGGGCAGGGCTGGTTGTAGAAAATGGTTGACACATGGGTCCTGGGTTACGGGCACCGCTGCAGTCAGCATGGTCCTTGCGTGGAGTCCTGTGTAAGGGGAAGGGTTTTGTGACCGTCATTAGTTTTTCACAATTTCCTTTTCCTGGTGGGATCCTAGAGTTTCTCTCTAACATCCCTTCCATTATACCACATGGTTTCCAAAGGGCACTTCCCTTTCCATCCTCCCTCCCCCAGACTCTTGTCTTGGCAAAGCCACCTTCTTGAGCGCGTGAGTGTGCCCAGCCCCTTCCTGTAGCCAGTGCCCCGATCTATGTGCCGTTTTCCAGTATTTTCACCCTCAAGTGGACTTTCTCTCTGGCGGTGATTTTAGATCAGTTCTAGGTTCGCTGTTCGTGCCTTCCCTTTTCTCTTTCACATGCATTCTCTCCAAGCTGCCCTGTCTCTGCCGAGGTCTGCGGCGGGGTCTGGGCCCGATTCACTGTCTGCATCGTCTGTGTGAACAGCAGCCATGTGGGGCTCCTCTCCCAGCTTTGCGGGCCGTGTGGCTCCGGGGGCTATTCTCTAGCCTTTGGTTCTCTGTTTCTGTCTTGGAGGACACCTTGGGAGTTTCCCCGTCTCGCCAGCACTGTTGGGGCACCTTCCGCTGCTGCAGCTGACACTTGACATTAGTTTCACTGGCTGTGTTAATGCTTCAGAAAAATCTGGGGAGTTCACAGTTTTACAGCATTGAGTGTTCCAACTCTTGAATATTCCCTCAGTAACCTTTGTATAGCGCTCAGTGTAGAGGTCTCACGTGCCTTCGTTGGTTTTACTCCTGGGGGTTTGTGTTTTGGATGCTACTGAGAGCCAAGTCGCTTTGCACTTCATGTTCGCCGAGTTGGTGTTGCTGGTGTATGGAAACACAGTCTGTTTTCGTGTCATTGATTTTTTATCCATTGGCCCTGCTAGACTCATATTAATTTTTATGGTCTGTAAATTATTTTGTATTTTCTACATATATAATATCCATAATTATTGTAATTTTGGTTTTTCCTTTACAATCATAATATTCTAGTTATTAAGTTAGATGGGTACATTGGTGTTTTTTATGTTCTCATTTAAGCCATTTAAATGCCTGAGATGTTTCTCATAAAGTAAAATTTTAATTGATCAAGAAAGTTTTTGGTGATGATATATTTTTCTGTAAGTCACATTTCTCATAAGAAAGTAAAAACTGCTCCATTCACTTGGAGCTGTCTTCAAATTTGGCCCTAAGAATGGTTCTAGGCCGGGCGCGGTGGCTCAAACCTGTAATCCCAGCACTTTGGGAGGCCGAGACGGGCGGATCACGAGGTCAGGAGATCGAGACCATCCTGGCTAACCCGGTGAAACCCCGTCTCTACTAAAAAATACAAAAAAAAAAAAACTAGCTGGGTGAGGTGGCGGCACCTGTAGTCCCAGCTACTCAGGAGGCTGAGGCAGGAGAATGGCGTAAACCCGGGAGGCGGAGCTTGCAGTGAGCTGAGATCGGCCACTGCACCCCAGCCTGGGCAACAGAGCAAGACTCCGTCTCAAAAAAAAAAAAAAAAAGAAAAGAAAAAGGTTCTGAATGATTTTGTTGTGGACAATGGTAACATTTCTGTTCTTCTAGTAAATGTTAGAGTTGGCCAGACATTTCTCCACGTTCCTCCTTTCCAATGTTTAAAAATATCCCTTAACATTTTCCGTAGTTTAGGAGTGTCTATGAGGGAAGTTTAAATGCTGTCTTCTTGGATTCTGGAGACCTCTGGGAACCCGTGGCAGCTTCACTGTGTCTGTGTCTGTCTTGCAGTGAAACCTGCAAGGAGAACATAGAGGAGTCAGGCGTGGCTGTGAACCAGCAGTTTTCAGTGAGCCTGGCAAATCTATCGTGAATCCCCTGAATGAAGCGGGGAGTTTGCACTCACATGACAATGTAGAAGGCCACTCTTCCCCGCAGCTGAGCAGTAGCAGCTTCCAAACCAACGCTGACCAAAGACATATTAGTATTTCATCACCTTTCTCCACACATATGCATCCACTGAGCTACATTTACTTATTCTCAGCACTCTACATACATTGCTGACGTTAAACTCTTAATAAAAGGCATGCATTCTGCAAAGTTATGCTTAAAAACTTCAAGGTTTGACCTTGAATGACCACAAGCTCTGCATTTCCCAGGAGTGTTCCTGGCCTCCCGGGACTTGGGTGTTTGTGCTGTCAGAGACGGACGGTCAGACAGTGATTAATGTGGCCGCTCTCCACCACCTCAGAGACGTCCCAGGCCGGCCCCTCACACTCCGCATAAGCCGTGCTCCTGGTGCCTGCTCTCTAGTATTCCGAAATCAAGCTTTAATAGACTTGGAAAATCTGTGTTGTATCTTCCTTGTTACCAAAAAGAAGTAGAAGCTTAACTAAGTAAAGCAGTGGATTGTTGAGGTTAAATTTGGCAAATGATCCAGTTCCTTCACTGTCTTACTGTTTATATTTTAATTTTTATTCCTTTGTATCTCAGTATATGCACTAAATATAGCAGACATACTATTGATAATGTAAGAGGAAATGTTTAAGACAATTTTAAGTTTAATCTGAAATAAAACATTTAAGCCACAATTTTAAGCTTAATCTGAAATAAAATGCTTAATTTTGTTAACTGTGATAACATTTTTTTCTGTTAAATGAGGAACTTTTAGTTGCATAAAAAAATAGGAATAGCCACACATTCAGCACCTTGGCCCTTTCTTCCAAATCTACATGGAGGCAGAATTGGCTGCATCTAAACGGTAGAAATGGCTTTATTTCTCCCTGTGGATTCAGGGTATTTCTGGTTCAAATCAGATTCTCTATGGTCTATAAATCAGAAATCCACATGAAAGTGAAGTCCATCATAAAATAGCAAAGATGCAGCAAAAACGTAAACAATGCCCTTATTTGGGAAATATGGAAACCAGCCAGAGAGGAGGCGGTGGCAGCCGGGGCCAGGCTCTCTGTCCCATCCCAGCCGTCTCTGCATTTCTCCTAGAGACACTCATTTATCTCCAGCACACACTCAGTTTTATAAAGCCATTCATAGCAGGAATGAGTGCGCAAACATCCCTGGAAGGATCACACCTGTCACCTGTGGGAAGAGAGAGTGGGCAGTTCAGGTTGGAAGAAACCTCTAGGGACAGGTATTGACCGAGCACTCACTCTCAGATCATCCCACTGATTAAAGTTTAGAGAGTATTGCATTGCATTGGATTCCCAACTCGGTTTCAAATCAGTTTTTTTTTTTTTTTTAGTTATAAAAGTCAATAAAGAAGGACAAAGCAAACACAAGGTAGCTTTCTAAAATAATAATAATTAAAATAAAAATCTGAATGAAAGTCGTTTTTTATTGATGTATTACATAGACTACTATATTTTATTAATACTTAACAATCCCCCTCACTTAGTTGCCCACAAGGCATGTAACACTGCATTCCGTGCAGCATTTGTTATTATTTATTATTTATTTAGCAGTATTTATTCGTACTCCGACATTTAGAAGCACAATCTGCCACTCATTTCTGCTGAAGCTGCGATCTCGGGCTGACAGATGGCCACCTTCAGAGTCTGCTGCCTGCCTTCTCTGTGGTCCCCATGTGGACAAAAGGATGCATCAAGGGTGTTACTGGGCCTGGCATTTGGGTGGTGGCCCCGCCAGGCCTGGCATGTCCCTGCAGGTGGAGCTGGGTAATCCTGGCCCTGCCCAGCGTCACGCGGTGTCTTTTCCCCCAGGACGAGTGACGTGGGCGTGCTTTCCCACCGTGAGCACCTGCCAGTCACACAGATCGTCATCACCGACGCGGACCGCCCAGGCTCGGAGGCAGCTTACAAGCTGGGACCACTGCAGTGCCAGGGAGACGGTAGGTAGCGCCCACACCTCTCTCCTGACAGCGCCTGTCCGCGCAAAGACCGCCTCCATGGGGGGGTTGATGGAAAACGAGGAGTTATGCGCCTTTTTAAAATTAGGGAAGTGACGCACGCCGCGTGGCTGTTACTCAGTGGTTGGTCTAAGGCGTTACCGGGAGAGGCAAGGGGAGCCCTGAGAAGCCTCCCCATCAGCTGGAAACATCCCAGGCATCGGCTGAGGGAGACGCCCCTGCCAGTGTGTGCAGCACGCCCTGCAAGAGAAGCTTCCGCAGACTCCACGGGCATCATCTGTCCATGGACCCAGCCTCCTGTCTCCATCGCTTGGTCAGGGAACTGGGGCCTGAAACCAGGCATGCATTCGGCTTCTCACTACCCGGATGGCGGGATCAGAACATTGGCTGGAAACAAACGAACCAGTGCATTTCGCTTTTTCACTTCTTGATTTCTGCAACTCTAGCGCTCTCTCTCGCTCTCTCTCTCTCTCTCTCTCCCTCTTTTGTAACAGTGGCTCCTGTGATTTCATCTTCTCACAATATTTGCAACCTAAAGCAATATTTTTAAATGTAATTGCAGCTTTCATGGTCACTATGCATTTGCAGCAGGACCTTCCCAGGTGGAGACCAGTCCCCAGTCCCTGTGAGCACCTCCTCACAGTGAGGCAGTGCACGCCCAACCTCACTTCCCTCTGAGACATCTGGTGACTTCAGACGCACCTCAGTGGCTTCACCACCCACATTTTTTTTTTTACCTTTCTCAGACATTTTATGGTCCAAGTTCTTAACTGGAACTTAAAAACAGAGCAATTATTTGTTCTAAATTAAAACCTTAGCACACATTTGTGATGTGTTGTTGTAGGATTGTAGGAGTTTGGAAGAACAGATGTGATCGATGATCATACAAGCACCACCACACACCTGCCTGTCATAGGCGCTCCTTGACAGCTGCTCTCTCCTGCTCTGTGCCCTCAAGTCCCTGCCTCTGGCTCCATCCTTGCACCTCAGTGACCCCTCAGTCTGCCCTGTGTTGATCATAGATTCTTTTCCCCCAAGATTTTCACTAGTTTCTCTCTGATTGCCTGGCTCAGAGCAGTCCTCCACTGCTCCAAGCTCAGCATGATTCATGAGAGAACTGGGGTCTCTTCTGTTCACATCTCTATTAGGTTTTTAGTCTGTGGGTCCTGGCAGGGAGGATGCCCGTGCTGGGTAAGCGCCTTACAGGCTGGAACTGGCCACCAGAAGCAGCCCACGGCCATCAGAACAGGCCCAGATGTCAGCCTGGAAATCAGGCGGGAGCCACACGGGGTTTCGGGCAGCCCCTGAAAGCTGCTTTGTTGGTCATCCGCTGTGCTTTTGCATTTTTACGAATAGCTCTTTGTTTGGTCAGTGTTTCGGGGAGATAAGTTCTGTGAACCGGCTCCATCACGGCACCTTCCTTCCCCAGAGGTGTGTACGCCGCGCCAACCTTTCACAAGCGGGAGAGAGACACTTTATTTTCATGTTCAGTTTGATGATTAACCTGAAAAGCCATTATAAATCTTTGACATTTGAATTCTGATCATTTTAAATTTAATGTAAACATTGGCCCTGCTGCTACCTGGCATTGGAAAACCTTCCTCTAAGTGTCCTGTGGGAGGAAAAACCATGGCTGAGCTGCTGGAATTGGCTCTTTCATTTCTTCTGCGTGACTGGAGCAGCTGTCTGGGAAATCCTAGCTGCCCAGAGAGCATGAATATTCAGGGCGTGCAGCCGTGCAGCCCGGAGGAGGCTGCCCCTTAGACAACGTTGTCCTTGATTCTCTCCCCTCGGGCACTGCTGTGCCTAAACCACTTTAGGCGAAGGGGATCAACCCTGCCCTCACAAAAAGGTTTTGGGGCTGCACCGGGGCCACCTGCCCAGGGCCAGGAATCCATCCCAGTCTGAAATTCTGAATCCCTCGCTCTGCTTGGAACTGTTCTCTTTTGGTCACCTGCCTGCCCGCTCCTCTTCTTTCCTCCCTGCCTCCCTCTCTCCATTTGATCCGCGAAGCACAGGAGGGTTTGTTGGAGGGCACATTATAAAACCAAACGAAAGGCATATTCTGAATTTTCTGTGGCTGAAGAAAACAGGAAACGTTGCCAAGTCCTTTAGTGAGGCAATATGTGAGTGGCTCCAGTGATGCAACAGGGAGGCCATGGTGGCACCACTCTCCTGGGAGCCACAGTGAGGAAGAGAACAGGTGCACCCCACACCCACAGGACGGTGCCAGGGACCGGGGAGGAGGGAAGGGCAGGGGCAAGGGGGGGCTCCACAGAAGGCTGCGTCCAGGAGAAGGCCTGGATTGAGGAGGACGGGGGGGTCCAGCATCCAGCACACGAGGAAGAGAGTCTTGCTCAGCAGGAACCAAGCATGTGGGGCCTGGCTGAGGGTTGCTGTGACCCAGTCTGAGCTGAAGCAACTTCAACAGAGGCCGGGTGGTACGGATCGAACTGGGGCTGGATCCGAAGATAAAAGCAGAAAGATTGAATGGGCAGTGGATGTGATTTATGAGTCCGGCAGCCTTGAGGGTTGGGTCTGAGTGGCAGAGCCTGGGACCTGTGTGCAGAGCTCAGGTGTGAGCTGCTCCAAAGCCCAAGATGGGCATGGGCAGAGCAGAGAGGGGGGGTGTTGGACTCGGGAGGCTGGAGGGGGAGGCAACAGAGGGCAGTGGGTATCTGGGGAAGGGAAGGACCAAGGGCAGAGCCCTCCAGGGCAGAGGACAGTGGGCGTGTGGGATGGGCCAGAAGTTCTGAGCAGCGGTGCTTTGAGGAGGACCCCGGCGGGCCTCAGGGCAGGGAGAGAGTGTGCCCAGTTGCACCGGTGCCGCCGGGCCACATTGCAGGACAGAGGTGCCCCTGGACCTGTCGGCGAGGAGCCTGCGGCAGCCCAAGGAATCCACAGGAACATTGAACAGAGGCCCGGGGCTCCCTCCACGCCACGTCCTGCACCGGTCACACGGGAGCACAGACGGAAATTTGGGTCCAGAGTTGCTTCTTTCCACTCCTTTGTGACCGGCTGATTCTTGGTGGCTGTGAGAATGAGCAGCGGTGGAACAGAGGAACGGCCCGGTGTGCGCTGCTCTGCTGCAGGTGATGGACGCAGGCCTGTGCCTCCGGAGTCTGTGTCGAGCTGCTGATGTCAGAAACGCCACCCTCTAACCTGGAGGCAAAGGTGTGCACAGAAGACCCAGCCGTGTGTCTGCTGAGCTGGCTCCTCAGCGCTGCCGTCAGGGATGACTTCTGAGAGTAATGATCCCTCCCCGTCGGCCTGAGCGCTGCCGTCAGGGATGACTTCTGAGAGTGATGATCCCTCCCCGTCGGCCTGAGCGCTGCCGTCAGCGATGACTTCTGAGAGTGATGATCCCTCCCTGTCGGCCTGACAGTTTCATGCTGCACGTGTCTCCGGACGAGGGTGGCTTTTTTATGCACATGTTCATGAATAGCTTTGTTCTCTTTCCAGCTGTTCTACCAACCAAAAACTGTAATTATATCCAGCATATTGCATGATTTTCATTTTGTTTTGCTTTATATTTGATTCCTATAATTTTCCCCAACATTAGGAAACAGCATTACAAATTTCAAAAGAGGAACCATTGAAGTCTAAAATCAAGAGTATCTGTGCTCTCAACAGGGAAATTATAACCACTCCTGGTGTTTTCTTTTTGTTAAAAAGCCAGGCTTACCAGTTCATTTTTGTAAATAATCAGAAAGGCAAATTTGAAAAGAAAAAGTTAGTACCTCAGCAATTTTATAATTTCTATTCCTAGTTTTAAGAAACATATGGTTACATTGTGTGTGTCTTTGATCTTGGAAGTAAGCATCCTTGCTTTATAAAGCCACCTGCCTTTTAACAAGTTTTCTCTTCCTTTTAAAAAATAATTAATTTATTATTTGGAAGGTTTATTTGTAGATCAAATAGAAATTTAAAAAAGAAAATATTTATGAAATAAACCTTAATCCCATAGGGCTAATAAAACTTATTTTCCCGAATGGGCAATGTCTATCGGAGAAAAACATTGAAGGCAGGTCTCTTGTTTCATTTTAACTTTGTGAGTGGAGGTTCACCAAGTTATGTACAATATGCGCACAACACATCCACCCTTCGTGTAAAAGGTGAACACCATCTGTGTGTCATCCACACTACACATGCACAGACATCATCCACACTGTACGTGCACAGTCCCTGGGTGCCCTGTCTTAGACCCTGTGTCTGTAGAGTTTATTTCCACATCTCCACTATGCAGCTTCCACCCACCTCTCTGCTGTGGAATTCGCACTTGGGTTCTGTAACCCTTTGCATCACACACACACACACACACACACACAAGTGAATGCAGCTTCCACCCCGCTCTCTGCTGTGAAAATTGTATTTGGATTTTGTAACCCTTTGGGTTACACACACACACACACACACACACACACACACACACACACAAGTGAATGCAGCTTCCACCCCCTCTCTGGTATGGAAATTGTTTTTGGGTTCTGTAACCCTTTGCATTACACACACACACAGGAAGTCACCTTGGAGCAGGGCTGTCACCAAGTCCCTGCTGCGCGGAGGCTCGTGTGGTTGTGCTGAGCCCTTCCTGGTGGGTGACTCGGGCCCACTGTGCTTCCACCTGAGCCCTGTATAGCACAAGAGGCCATGGCTCCTGCCAGGAACACCCTGGAGCCACTCCCCAGAGAGCCTCCGGCACCCTCTCCTGCCCGCCTGTACGCGGGGCAGAGGACCCCAGGGCTCCAGGTGTGTGTGGAACGGCGTGGGGGCAGCCGCATTTGCTTTTCCGGTTCCCAGCTGACCAACTTCCTGTGAGGTTCAGCCCCTCAGGGAGCCGAAGGTTCTGTCCTGGAGTGGCCCTTGTGTAAACGGGCAGCGTGTGGAGCAGATTCTCATCCACTGGACTAAACGAGCCCCCCGCTCACAAAGCTAAAATGAAATAAGAGACATCCTTTCACGATTTCCTCTACTTTGGGATTTTAAGGAACCCAGACACTCCTGACAGTGGCCAGGGTGGGAATAGGCCTGATTTTCTGTCTTTCCTGCCATCTTAAATCACATATTTTTTTTTTCTGCAATTGTTCAACTAAAAGCACTGTGATGATCTCGAGGCATCTCCAGGGACTCGCCTGAGACTACAAACGTGGGGTTTTCCGGCGGGTGCCTGGCATCGCCTTAATTCACATCCCAGCCGGGTGCCAGGCATCACCTTAATTCACATTCACTATGGCCAAGCCCAGGAACAACAGTAACACAGAAGTTAAGAAATGTGCTTGTAGCTTCATTTAACCAGAGACTGCTCCAGAGAAAAATGAAACATCTTCAGAAAGAATTCTCAGCGGAAACCCAGCAAACGGGCAGCTGGCTACATGTGAGCTGCCGAAAACCTGAGCACGGACTCCTTAATATGAGTTCCTCCAGGTGAAGCTGAGAGGTGGATGAGCGGAGCATCATCCTCGGCCCCAGATGGGACCGAACGTGGATCTGCGCCTGCTCAGAGCAGAGGCGAGTGGGGTCTCCCTCCCCGTGGTAACAGAGGGAATGGATAGTGGGATGTGGCTGTTTTTCTGACACTCTGCATGAACTCATTCTCCAGGAAAAGTAATTTAGGTGTGAGGATGTTATGAAGTCTGGGGAGTGACGAGGAATGGGCTGTTCGCATAACGATCTATGCTTACGATGGATGCCCCAGAACTTTCGAGGCAACACCAGCAGCTTTGGAGTCCAGGACAGCATAGCCAGTACCTGGCTGAGTCTTCAGGGTCATGCACAGCCGCTGGGTCCCACTTCACCACCACACCACACCACAGGCCTTCCACGAAAGCCAGCGTCAAGCTAAATCCAGAGAAGCTCACGGCATTGCCTCAGAACGGCAACTGTGGACAACCAGATAAAATAGAGGGAATGAAAGTCCAGATAAAAACCATGAATGGACAGTCATTTAAATCTACTACATATGACAGGATTATATTACATGCCTTTGGAATTCCATTTCCATTAATGTGCTAATCACTCGGGAAGATGCTTTTATCAACTTGAGCACTGTTAAAATGTTTTAAGCCATTTATTTTGCATTGATCATAAGTGATATGAAATTACACTAACAGGCTGGGCGCGGTGGCTCACGCCTGTAATCCCAGCACTTTGGGAGGCCAAGGTGGGCAGATCACAAGGTCGGAGATCGAGACCATTCTGGCTAACACGGTGAAACCCCGTATCTACTAAAAATACAAAAAAATTAGCTGGGCGTGGTGGTGGGCGCCTGTAGTCCCAGCTGCTGGGGAGGCTGACGCAGAAGAATGGTGTGAACGTGGGAGGCGGAGCTTGCCATGAGCTGAGATCGCACCACTGCACCCCAGCCTGGGTGACAGAGCAAGACTCTGTCTCAAGAAATAATAATAATAATAATAATAAAAGAAATTACACTAACAGAAACCAATGTAAAAAAAGTGGTTATTTTCCGATCCAGTTTTCTGAGGAGCCGTGGAGATTGTTGGATGAAAAGCGTGTGTTGTGAGACACAGTCGTAGCATGAGGCGAGGGTTCCACTGATGAATCTTCTCATTGGAGGAGGAATTACCACCCAGGCCTGGATGAGAGCCGGGGCTCCTGCCACGTGGTGGTGGCCCTGACTGGGTGTGAAGAAGTTCCGGACGCCTGGGTGGGAAGGTGAGCGTGGCCAGCTCAGGGGGTTTCTGCAGGATATTTTCTTTTTTTTTTTTTTTTTTTTTTTTTTTTTTTTTTTTTTTTTTGAGACGGAGTCTTGCTCTGCCGCCCAGGCTGGAGTGCAGTGGCCGGATCTCAGCTCACTGCAAGCTCCGCCTCCTGGGTTCACGCCATTCTCCTGCCTCAGCCTCCCGAGTAGCTGGGACTACAGGCGCCCGCCACCGCGCCCGGCTAGTTTTTTGTATTTTTTTAGTAGAGACGGGGTTTCACCGTGTTAGCCAGGATGTTCTCGATCTTCCGACCTCGTGATCCGCCCGTCTCGGCCTCCCAAAGTGCTGGGATTACAGGCTTGAGCCACCGCGCCCGGCCGGATATTTTCTTTAACTTAAATTTACAAAGGTGCTTAAAATATCAAATGATGAACAAACCAATGTTTTGATAATAAAAGTATGGTGGAACATTATTGAAGTGATTTGCCTGGGTAAGGCGTTCAGAGTGAAGACACTTCATACATCGAAGGTGAATTCCTTCCTGTGCCGTGCGGGCCCCGCACCTCCCGGTTCTCATCAACCGCCGACTCTGCGCGCAGACCTCATGTTCAGGAAAACGTCACAAAGAACACAAACGCGGCCTTCTTCGGTTGCGGCTGCACTCAGCAGCGAACGTTTGACATGCCTCACGGGTTTGCTGCCTTCTCCCCCTTCTCCCGTCAGGGTCCTTCTGGAACTCGGCGTCTTTCCACACGGAGGCCTCCTACCTTCACTTCCCCACCTTCCATGGAGAGCTCAGCGCTGATGTGTCATTCTTTTTCAAGACGACGGCTTCCTCTGGGGTGTTTCTGGAAAACTTGGGGATCACGGACTTCATCAGCCTGGAGCTGCGCTGTGAGTGTCTGGGAAGCTCTACGGGGCACTTGTTACTTTGTTGTAAGCTCTTGGGCGGTTTTGTGTGTGAAGCACCCCCTGCCCCTGTCATCAGCTCCACCCCGACTGGTTCATTTCCAGCCCTCAGGTCTGTGAGTTCCACTCACCGCTGGTCAAAGAGACCGGCCATGTGCCGCGGCAGCACAGCTGGCAGCCCGTGGGCAGGACCTGTCTGCATTCAGCTGGGTACAAACAGGGCGTTGGGTCCCACCAGGGCGTCCACAAGGCGTTCCTGAATTCCCAGCCCCTTCGTGGCACAGACCTGCCGTGTTACGACCAATGCCCCCAACCTGCTCATCAAACTGTGTGAGGTTCAGGACGAAATTCTCCACAGACCCAGGTGGTTTAGTTTCTCTGCCACAGGTCATTACCTTTCCAGTTCCTTACTTAGTAAACTGAACTGTACATTCTGAGCTTATTTATTTTCCCGTATACATAAGTTAACTTTGCCTTTTCACCCGACTCCAAAAGTCGACTCCCCGCCTGAGGGCCCCACGCCCTTGCCACCGGGGAGCCCTCCCCATGGTCCAAGCTCAGGCCCCTCCTCGGCTGTCGCTGAGACTGCTTCCCTGTGGGATGTTTCCAGCCCCCGCAGAAGTGGCCTTTTCGTTCGACGTGGGAAACGGGCCCTGCGAGCTCACGGTGCAGTCGCCCACTCCCCTCAGTGACAACCGGTGGCACCTGGTCCGAGCCGAGAGGAACGTGAAGGAGGCATTGCTGCAGGTGGACCTGCTGCCCCCCAGCACCCGCCAGGCCCCCGAGGATGGACACAGGCTCTTGCAGCTCAACAGCCAGCTCTTCGTGGGTGAGTGCGAGCCGCGCTGCTGGCTTCCCAGTCCCGCGGGTGCTGTAGAGACAGCTGGAGAGGAAGCAGAGAGCAGGCGGGGTTGGTTGACAGCTGAGGCACCACTCAGGGCCGCGTCCTCACACCCGGCCGGGTGTTCCGTGGTGAGCTCATCCCCCGGGCGGCGTCCCCACTTCCGGCCGGGTGCTCGGCGGTGAGCTCATCCCCCGGGCGGCGTCCCCACTTCCGGCCGGGTGCTCGGCGGTGAGCTCATCCCCCGGGCCGCGTCCCCACTTCCGGCCGGGTGCTCGGCGGTGAGCTCATCCCCCGGGCCGCGTCCCCACTTCCGGCCGGGTGCTCGGCGGTGAGCTCATCCCCCGGGCCGCGTCCCCACTTCCGGCCGGGTGCTCGGCGGTGAGCTCATCCCCCGGGCGGCGTCCCCACTTCCGGCCGGGTGCTCGGCGGTGAGCTCATCCCCGGGCCGCGTCCCCACTTCCGGCCGGGTGCTCGGCGGTGAGCTCATCCCCCGGGCCGCGTCCCCACTTCCGGCCGGGTGCTCGGCGGTGAGCTCATCCCCCGGGCCGCGTCCCCACTTCCGGCCGGGTGCTCGGCGGTGAGCTCATCCCCCGGGCCGCGTCCCCACTTCCGGCCGGGTGCTCGGCGGTGAGCTCATCCCCCGGGCCGCGTCCCCACTTCCGGCCGGGTGCTCGGCGGTGAGCACATCCAGGACCGGCTCCGGGGCACTCTGCTCTGGCTGCGTCCTGCCCAGTGAATGGTGTGGCAGCCATTACCAACCACTGGTCTCTACCTGGAGGTGGACGCCCGCCCGGAAGCTGCAGCAGGTGCTCCCCTGGGTGCCCCAATACTGGGGCCAGAAGGAAACCAGGAGGGAGGTGGCCATGGCCCACTCACCTTCCTCCTGCTCCCCACCTCCTTCCCTACCCCGTCGCTTGCTCACATTTCCAGGCAAGCCAGACCCCCGGCAGCCATTTGCTGTGACTGCCCCGCAGCCTGGAGTGGGGGCCCTGGCTCCTGCCCTGGCTCACTGGTTGGTTTCGGGGCCTCCTACCCTGGCTTAAGGGTTGGTTTTGGGGTCTCCCACCCTGGTTTACTGGTTGGTTTCGGGGCCTCCTACCCTGACTTATTGGTTGGTTTTGGCTTTGTGTTGTGTTGTCCACAAATGATTTTATTCTCATTTGGCTTCAAGAAGACAGAAGGATTACTCCCTCTGACTACTCCTCCGCATTTTCAAAAGAATAAAAAAGCTATTTATCAGGAACTCCAATCAATGAAAAATAATCACGGACTCTTGCTGGAATCTCAGTGAGGCGGATGTTTGAACTTTTAGGATCCCCACACATTTCTGTGCTTAAGCAATCATCTACAAGCTTTCGCTAGTCAAAAAAAAAAAAAAGCTTATTGTTAATTTTACAAACGTTTAATTTTAGTATTTTCTGTGTATTTTTTTACTTTTTTGAACTATTTTAGTCTATTAAAGAGATACTTAGGCACTGTGCCGCATGCCCTAATTGAGATCGTATGGCCACATTTGAATAATGTGTGTAATATATAGTTGTATAAGTTATGAGTACCTATAAATAAAATAGCACAATTTCTGCAATACTATGCGGAAAATTCATAGGGTGACTCTGCCGCCGGGACCCTGTGTTCTGAGGATGAAAAGTCTGTCAACCCCACTTAGCTGTCTCGGTTTTTTTTCTTTTCTTTTCTTTTCTTTTCTTTTTTTTTTTTTTTGGAAATGGAATCTCCCTCTGTTGCCCAGGCTGGAGTGCAGTGGTGCGATCTCTGCTCACTGCAAGCTCCACCTCCCGGGTTTATGCCATTCTCCTGCCTCAGCCTCCCGAGTAGCTGGGACTACAGGTGCCTGCCATCACGCCCGGCTAATTTTTTGTATTTTTTAGTAGAGACAGGGTTTCACCGTGTTAGCCAGGATGGTCTCGATCTCCTGACCTCGTGATCCGCCCGCCTCGGCCAAGTGCGGGGACTACAGGCGTAAGCCACCGCGCCCGGCCAGCTGTCTTGGTTTTTATATTTGGTGAGTTCGTGGTAAATTCCTGAATCATGGACATCTGCCTTAACGTGAAATCTCAGACTGGGTCTCACATCAACATCTCCTCTCCTGAGCCTGGCACCACAATTAAAACCATAGAAGTGGCCTTTCTACTCTGAAAAATGGAGCAGACAGGAACTGTCCTCAAACTGGCAAGTGCAGTCTGCTCTGGGCTGTGGCCACCCACGTCAGGTCCCGGGAGCTGCACCTGCTTCCACCATGCCCGGTGTCCACAGCCTTCCCAAGGCTGAGTTCAGGAGAGATTTGCTGCAAGCAGGGAAGCCCCTGCACAGCCAGTGCCTGTGAGGTCAGAGACTGGCCGCATCTGCCAGTCCCTGATGTTTTAAAACACCCTCCCTATGAGTCAAGTCTTTCAATTTCTGAATTCCCAAATGTAATCAAACCCAAGACATTTTCAGGGAGCTCTGGGGATGGAGCACTTTGCTGTGTCCAGGTACAGGGCTCCTCTCTGTGATTCTCTTCCAGGGCACTTCGGTTGTAGTTACGAACATGCACCATGCCCACACACGGAAGTATATACACACATTCACACACACAGGCACACACGCACACACACACACAGGCACACACACATGGAAGTATATACACACATTCACACACAGGCACACACACGCACACACACAGGCATGCACACATGGAAGTATATACATACATTCACACACAGGCACACACACACGCACACAGGCACGCACACATGGAGGTATATACACACATTCACACACACAGGCACACATGCACACACACACAGGCACGCACACATGGAAGTATATACACACATTCACACACAGGCACACACACGCACACACACAGGCATGCACACATGGAAGTATATACATACATTCACACACAGGCACACACACACGCACACAGGCACGCACACATGGAGGTATATACACACATTCACACACACAGGCACACATGCACACACACACAGGCACGCACACATGGAGGTATATACACACATTCACACACAGGCACACACACACGCACACAGGCACGCACACATGGAGGTATATACACACAGGCACACATGGAAGTATATACACACATTCACGCACACAGGCACACAGGCACGCACACATGGAAGTATATACACACATTCACACACAGGCGCACACACAGGCACACACACATTCACACACAGGCACACACACATTCACAAATACACATAGTCACATGCTCTCTCACACCCGCAAGCACTCTCACACACACACATACACACACGCACACACAGTATATGCATTTTGGGAGACATTTGTATGGAATCCCTTAATTTAATCTTATGTTTGTGGCTCAGTTGTTTAATGCAAATAAAATTGCAGGTATTATTTATGGGAAATTAAGTGAGCACAACACACATTTTTGAAAGGGTTGCTTTTCTCAAAATGTCATTTATTTCTCAATTATAATTATATAACCTTATATAATTATAAGATGAGAGAAATTTGGGTTTGATTTCAGTAACTCAATATTTTACCTACTTTGATGAGAAAAAATAAAAGGTTGCCTCAATGCAAACAAAATGCCACAATTTCCAGATAAACCTAGCAGAGCAATTTGGTTTCTGGTTCAGTGATTCACCAAACACTGTCTTCCAAACAGGTCCCACCTTTTCTTGACTGTATTGCTCGTTTGCACTTTTGTCTATCTTCAGGGAAATTTACAATGTCTTTATTATATTCTTGATAATGAGAACAAGATGGCTGAGAGGTGGGCTTCTGAGGACAGCTGGTCGGCTGCCTCCCACCTCATTCCCCAGGGTGCAGGCAGCACCTGCCTCTCTTCCCCTCCAAAGGAGTGTCCAGGGCCCTTCCTGGGCCACCCAGCCCACCTTTCTGGGGTCAGCTCGCCCTGGGCTCACTCAGCATTTGAGACAGCTGCTATCAGCTTCAGCCGTGAAGACTGCGGCAGCCCCTCGACGGCCAGCCCCGACTTCAGAGGCAGAATCTGGTCTAGAGTGAGATGTCTGTAGCACCAATGCTCAGAGAAATTCAAATTGTCCTTATTTGCAAGGGCGAGGGTCACAGCTCACAGTGCCTTGTGCCTCAGATACCAATTCCTCGGGAACATTACCTGCTTGCACTGAGCTGTCCTCTGTAGCTGGGGCACACGCAGGCGTCACGAAGACTGTGCTGTGTTTTCAGAGTGGCTGTTGCTTTATTTTGTAACAATAGCATTTATCGCAGACTACACAGAAGAAACATCTTCAAAAACATAAGACACCACTGAAAAAATAGGAAGTTAACTGTTTTCTCGTGTAGCATAAAAATAGGAAACGGAGGAAGTTTCACCCTCGTGTGGGATAGAAGTCACGAGATGTTACCTCTAAGAGTTTCATCAAAAAAACCACTAGTTGTCTTATTTAGATAAGCGCTATTTTTATTTAAATTACATTCTCAATTTCACTGGGTTGTGTCAGGTATCCAGGCCCCCCGGATAGCGTGGCACTGTTGCATTTGAGGAGATTCAGACCTTTCTGGGCACCACAATGGGCTGAGGACCTGCCGCCTTCTGGCTGGAAGCAGAGACCCACAGCAGCTGAAGGATGTGGGCCCAGCAGAGCAGCATCTCATAGACGGTGCTGGCCGGAGCAGGGTCTCTAACATAGGATACGAATTTAAGAGGTTTCTGGGGCTGGACACAGTATCGAAGCCCATAGTTAACAAATTCTAGAAAGCCGTCTTCTGTGCCATCAAATGCCAGTGAGGAAGAATATTATGTATGTGAAAAACAACGTCGTTTTTAAGAAGTCAGATGCCCGTTGTCTCTACAAGAGAGGCTTGAATGTGGTGGACGCCGCATAATTAAATGGCACTTGCTCTTGTGGCCGCAGGTCTCCACCAACCCGGCCGGGTTTTCCCTCCTGCTCCCGCTCCAGGGTTAACAGCATGGCCTCGTGAGCTGAGTGGCCCCTCAAGGTTTCCCTCGC